CTGCGAGCCCCTCCCACCTTCTTGTCTGTCAGGTCACGGCCACTCTACAACTTTCTCAAGGAAGCTGTTTCCCTTTCAAAATCATCTCCTTTTCAAAATTACAGTTTGGACCTGTGTGCCATGAGCTTTCAAATCTCCTCCTGCTCAGTGTAGAGACGGAGCACAGGCTTCAGTTCGTGAGTCACTTTCAAACACATGGAGAAGCCAAACAGAAGCCTGGAGACGGAACCACACCGATGGTGATAGTTAGGCTGTCTTTCCCTTGCTCCCCGGTCCCCAGAACTCACATGCAGAAGGCCTCATCTTCTGGATATGCTTCGTCATTCTCCTCTTTTGTCATTCCCAAGTCCTGGTTTGAGAAACTTGGGCATGGATTTAAAAAGACTTCGTACCCCACCGCCTTAGCGCTGAGCGGCAGACTTTGACACCAACCCGAGTCACTTCTGAGAGCAGCTCGATTCTGATTTGGCTGGCAATCGACATCCTGGGCGCATGGGTCTGTGTTCTACTCTAGCCAGAGCAGAGCAACTTCTGGAAGCATCTGTTCCTTTTCTATTTATTTATCTATTCCGTTGCTGAGTACATCCCTCAGTGGGTCGGTGGCCGCTGCACCAAGGCTTCCCGGTGAGACACAACAGAACGTGGGCTCCACGATCCTCTCAGAGCCCAAGGGGATTCTTCACAACTGGAGGGCCCACCAAGACTGGGCAGCTGGGCTGTAGCACCTGTTCCATGAAGCCCACAGTGTGGCCAGCAATGGCCAAGTTACCCAGGCATGCCTGTGTTTTTATTATTGTTATATAAAGCTATGTATAAAGCTGTACAGGGAGTAGAATGCATCCAAGTCAGAGTCACCCACCACCGATCTCCCCCCCCACCACCACATCCACACCTGTCTTCTCCAGTTCCTTAGTTCCGCTTCTCATGTCTGTCCAGGGAACGTGATGACTGTGCTCATCCATAATTCCTCTTTCTACTTCTGTACCTCCTCTCGGCAGCTGTGCTCCCCAGCAGAGACACAGTTCAACTTCCTGGTATTCATTTTGTTTTATTAGCCGTTAATTGTTCAAAGAAGGTAAACTATGGAGATCCACTCCCGAGCATTCCATAACTGAGTTAGTCTGATCACATATCCATGCATATATTTACACATACATAAATTTAACTTCCCCATAGAAGAGAAAACATGCACTGTTCATGTCTCTGAGTCTGGCTTAATTCATTCAATATGATTTTTCCCAAGTCTATTCATTTCCCTGGGAATGGCATTATATTATTCTACTTACTAGATAAATAGAATTCAATTGGGTACACACACACACACACACACACACACACACACACCTCTGATTCATTCATCAGCTTCAGGGTATCTGGGATTTTTCTACAAGTTGGCGATTGTGACAATTTGTATGCATAGGCTCTGTCCACACTCCTTTGACACGTGTGCACATGTCTGCCTGCATTCACTTAGTTCATTCATGAACATGACTCTGAAACAAGAGCTCAGTGTCACAGGACCAGCCTTGGAACAGGAGAACTCAGCCCTCAGCAATTAACTCTATGCCAGTCAACAGTCGCTCTCTCTAAATCAGTCTCAACTCTTCCAAAAAGGACCCAGCATACTCTGGATTGATCTACCTTTCTTCAGAGGACCACGTTGTATTCCACTAAGATCTCTCAGAACCAAGTAAAAGAGTCGGTGTTGATGGGAAGTCGAGCAAATATGTCAGAGATGAACATCCGAGTTTTCTGCAGTGTTCAGAGACGAGACGGACAGACGGACACAGCCACTGACGATCCGTGGTCAGACGCTGTGTTAACTTAAGGGCTGTGTTAACTTAGGAGAGCCTGCAGATACCCTGCTTGGATTTGCAGCTCTGTGGTTCAGTGGTTAACCCAGAAAACCACGACCATTCGATTTTGTGGGGACCCTCTATGTTCGGAGATCCTCGGGCAACAGAAATACCTGCAGCAGGGCTGCAGCTGAGCAGAGGGCCCGGGCGAGCACGCGGGCCCTGGATCCGATCCCCGGGCTCCTCCCTTCCCTCTGCCTCTTCCACTGAAAGTCAAAGCCATCGGCCACACAGGTGACAAGAAAAATAGGCGACCCATTCATTCTGACACATAAAAATTGTACGCATTTACGGCATATGGTGTGGTGCTTTAATGTATACTACACATGGCTTTGTGGTGAAAACGTTGCTCTAAGATCTGATAACTCATTTCCTCACACTGTTCCGTTATTCGTGAGCTTCACAGTTCAGAATGTCTCCCAGACCGTCCCTCTTTTCCATCCTGCGATCATGTCTGGGTGCGAATGGGAACGTCACTGTGCGTGCCCATGAGATGTACGCGCGGCGAGTGTGTGCTCACGCTGGTGTGTGTCGCAGCCATGTGTTCACACTCCATCGAAGGAGGGCTTTTCCGTGTGTGGGTCTGCAGCTGCTGTTTGTGCTTTCCAGACTCCTGTGGAGGAGGAGGACTCTTAGACTGAGTGTTGGTTGCAGGTGAGGCCGGCCGGATGTGGGGTGCAGGGTGTGGGGGGCAGGATGTGGGGTGCAGGGGGCAGAGGTGGGGGGCGGGCTCATGGAGGGAGCTGGGGGCAGAGCACAGCTCTGGGCCTTGAATTAGGATCATCTCTGCTGTGGACCAGGCTGGCAAGGTTAGTGTCTGTATCTAACATCTATCTACCTATCTATTATCTATCACCTAGCTACCTACTTTCTGTCTACCTGCCTCTTGTCTGTCTGTCTGTCTATCTATCTATCTATCTATCTATCTATCTATCTATCTATCTATCTATCTATCATCTATCTATCATCTATCTTCTATTACCTGTCTGTCTGTCTATGCTATGCAGGGAGGGGGTGGGGGAGGGGATGGGGGAGGGCCCATGCCAGGGGAGGGGAGGGGGGAGGGGAGGGGAGGGTGGGGGAGGGAGTCCCGGGGAGGCCTGGGGTTATCTGGTGTGCACAGTCAGGCAGACAGACCTCACCCTCCCTCTCCACGTGCAGCATAGCATGCCTTGTTCAGATAGCGATTATTGTCCCCACGTGGGTGGTGGGCGGTGGGCGGCTCTGCAGAGACCGTCTCTAGGCGAGTGCTACACACAGTTTGCATCTTGACCTGGCGTCTCTGTGCGTATGTGCGGGTCATCAACGACTGTCATCAGCAGCGAGCAGGACACCAAGCTGAAGGCTCGCGTGCGTGGGCAGTGGCTGCAGAGGCCCAGCCGTCCGTGAGCACAGGGGAGCCTCGGAGATCCACAGCAGAGGCGAGGGTGGAGGAGAGAACCGCCGAGAGGCAGCAGGGCTGCAGGGGATCCGTGGGCCAAGGGAGGCCAGGTCCTGCCGCCTGCGGTCCAGACGCCACCGGGAAGCGTGGACCCGGCGGGCGCGGAGGCCCGTGGTAGCCGAGCAAGCTGACGTAGACTTCTGCTCATGTGCAACCCGGCCGGGAGCAGCACGGTGCAGGCTTCAGGTGCCGGGTGCCGGACCGCCCGGCAGCCGGGGTCTGAGGAGGATGGCACAGGTGGTGCCAGGTCAGGAGGGTGTACGCCTCCTCCCGCTGGGCAGTGTGTGTGCGCGGCCACGGGCTCGTGTGTGTGTGTGTGTGTGTGTGCGCGCGAGCACAGGCTCCGGTGTACGCCTCCTCCCCCTAGGCAGTGTGTGTGCGCAGCCACGGGCTCGTGTGTGTGTGTGTGTGTGTGTGTGTGTGTGCGCGGCCACGGGCTCGTGTGTGTGTGTGTGTGTGTGTGTGTGG